TTTGTAAATTCTGGGCATATTTTCTGAAAGAGTTTCTTTTCTTAAGTGTGCAAAATGTGACGTGTTGTTTGACAACAGATGTTTGTTCCAAATTTTGAGTTTGCTTTCAGAAGCATCAATTTTATCAAACATGTTATGAATAAACTGGCTTTTTCCTTGAAGTTCCATATTTGTCATTCAAATTCTGAGTTATATCAACGAGAAAGGCAAAATCACAGATCCATTCTTTATCTTGAAATTGGGGAAACGGATATTCTTTCATTTCTACAAACAATTTAAATATCATTTTTTAAGTTATATATTCTTTTTAGCATAGCACCTCTACTCAACCAACGCATTTCTGTGTTGCAAATTACATCACTATATTCACTTCCCAAATTTTTTAAAAATTTTTTAAACTGGCAGTGATTAAACGCTCGAGGTTTGAGAAAATTAATAAGTTTTATTACAGGCGTGATGACATTGGGCATATTTAAAATTTTTGCGCAAAGATTCTGTTGGTGAATTATGCAATGGTTAACAAATATTTCTCTCCCTGTTAAGTTTTTAATATCATTAAATAACGTTCCCGCGACTCCTATATTCATGCTTGTCAGTGCTCCATCGATTGATCTGACAATTCCAATTCCATCGATTTTTGTTCATTATACAGATCTTTACCTGTTGTAGTTCCTTTCATTGGAACCAATGAACATAGTTCTTCACTTATATCAAAATTCGAATCGATTCCTCTTACAAATATCGCTAGTTGTGATTTGTCACTGATGTCACAGCTTTCAAGTGTCAAGGAACACCATTCAAATTTGTGAATGCGTTCACTTAAAGTTGCAATTATGTTTTCGGACAGGTCTTCAATTCTTCTTCCAATTGTAAATCTTGACGAACCAATTTTGGAAATAATATCCTTTTTATCAGGAAAAGCTATTTCTGCAACAGCAGTTGAACATTCCTTAATCTCACCACCAGCAAATGGTTTCATCTTTTTGACTAACAGTGTAACTAGCTTTCACTGCCAACTCTGATGAAAATCTTTGAACTTTGAATATACTTTGTTGTTGTTTTAAACTTTTCTCCAACTGATTCAATTGATCTTTCCGCCTTGGATGTTTTTATATTTTGTCTCATAATGCCGTTTAATATTATATTCCCTCAAGACGGATACTGAATTTGAGCAGAAAAGGCAAACAGCTTTGTCTTTCACCGGAGTGAAAAAATAATCCAATTTCCATTTTTCATTAAAACTTCTATTTTCATCCCCAACTTTTCGTTTTTTTCTGTTTGCTGGTAGAACATATCTGCAACTATAACAATAGGGCAAGTGTTTATAAAAATACTATAAAAAAATAATTTTCGGTCAATACAATTAGTTTTCAAATTTAAAAGTAGGGCTTACCTTTTTTATTACAGTGATACGGTAATTAGACACAAAATATACACAAAAAAAGTTCTATGATCTGTGAAAACACTTTTAATTAAACTTGGAGAACTAATAGAAAATAATAACATTGTTCATATTTAATAAGATTAGGCGGATAGATCCTCTCCAAAATTTGAAATTTCCTTTGAGCTTTGACTTTACGCCGATGCAGCGTTTACAACACATATGCGTAGCGTCAAACGAAACCGCCCGGCGTAACATTTTATACCAAGAAATGCCGATACGTAATTTTTAAAAGTCAAAATGTAAAATCTTTGAAGGGCGGCACGAGAAAGTGTGGCGGGCCGCGGGTTGCTCATCCCTGGTCTAAACAATATAACAATGAAGTCTAGTCCATCGTAGGCAACTTGGAGAAAAAATCGAATTCGCTGGGCTGCAGCCAGTTACTAATTTTCCGAAAGAAACGGCAAAAGAAACAATGTCGCTCTCTCGTCTTCAACTAGTCTTGATGCAAGAATCAAAGTCACGGTTCAGTTGGTGAGCCAAGATTCCGAGTGACACTTAACTAGAAAATAAACAGACAGTTCAACGAAATGGAAATTTTCAATACGAAGAACTTTGAGAGAGATTTATAAATATTTACAAGTTACATGAGTGTTTGTGGAATAACATATGAGCATATGCAAACAAAAACATGCGTAGTGCTGCATATAATGAATTAATTGAAAAATGCAAAGAAAAATATCTGGCTGCTAACAAAGATTTTGTTCTTAAAGAAATTCACACTATGAGGTGCAGTTTCCGGAGAGAGTTAAAAAAAATATAGTTATTAAAAGGAAGTAGCAGTATTATAACCCACTAAAATTTATCACAGG